GGGTCCAGGGTGCGATCCGCGGTTGACTACGTGGGAGTCCAGCGACATAGCCATTACGCTAACTGCTGGTTCCCAATTTATTCATTTATTTTCATTTGACCAGAGAGAGAGAGAGAGAGAGAGAGAGAGAGAGGGAGAGAGAGAAAGTGAGAAAGCAAGCCACCAGGTCCATGACTCGAACTGTGGTTGGCCATGTGGGAATGTCCAGTGCCTTGACCACCATGCCACCTGCTGGCACCCAGAGGCTCAGTTTTTCTCACCCGCATGGGGGCGGGGGCGGGGGGGAACGGGTAACGTTACCTTCTTCCACCCAGGATACTAGGGATTCAGTGGCTAAAGTAGATTGAGTTCTTAGCTCTAGCCTCGGCTAGATGTAAGCTGGGGCCCGCAGCAACCATGGCACAGCTGGAGCTGGGGCAGGACGGGAGGGGTGTGCAGAGAGGGAGGGGCAGAGCCCTTGTCTCCAGGGGACCCTTCCTCTGCCCCAGGACTCGCTGGGCTGCCGCCTGGTGTTCCTGCTCATGCAGTACTGCGTGGCGGCCAACTACTACTGGCTGCTGGTGGAGGGCGTGTACCTGTACACGCTGCTGGCCTTCTCTGTCTTCTCGGAGCAGCGCATCTTCAGGCTCTACCTGAGCATAGGCTGGGGTAAGACCTCACGCCCCACCTCCACCCCCTGGACTTGGCATAGCCCCTCCTCCAACGTGGTCCTCAGAGCACACTGCAGGGGCAAGGAGCAGGGCCCACTTGACTGCCCCTCCTGGGCACAGGCTCCCTGCAAGGAGGGCTATTAGGACACCATGGGGGTGGTGCTTAGCTCCCACCACCTCCACCCTTGGCATAATTCTCCCCTTAATGGAGGCCTCCACCCTCATCTGCCAAATCCAACCCCTACCACTATCGTACTCGCTGGAGGTCACAGCACTGTCCTCAAGTCCCTGCTCCTAAGGCTCTGTGAGGGCAGAGCCCTGTACCCAGTGCCAGGAAGCCCAAGGCCCTGAGGGAAACGGTGAGTGCTGGGCCTCAAGGTGGGGAGGGGTCAAGAGGAAACTCGGGGAGGGCGTGGAGGGGGAAATTGATGCTGATGCTGAAGGAGAAGACTCACGGGAGAGCCCAGTATGGCAGGCAGGGTGAACTAGAGGCCCAAAGAAGGGGTGGGCCGCAGGTGGGCCGCGGATGTGCCTGGAGCCCAGCTGGAAATGTTCTAGCCAAAAAAGTTAGCCAAGAACCACTGTGTCCTTTTTTTTGCTGGAACATTTCTGGTTGTGCTTCTGCCTCTCGCCATGTGGGGTTCTGACGAGGGCCAGCTCTGGGACCCCTTGCGCTACCTGGAAACCTGCAATAACCCTTCCTTGGGGGGCCCACGGTCACCTGCCTGGGATGGGGCCAGAGACTAGGCTCTGCTCTCCAGCCCTTCCCTAACTTGCCCTTGACTCTGCCAGTCTCTGCTCTGCACCGCCACCCTCCCTACCCCTGCAGCTTGCCCTGAATTCATTCATTCTGTCCTCTTCTTCATTCCTCTACCTCAGGTCATTCTGTCTCCTGACGAGAGACTCCCCAGCTCAGTCATGGCCAGACTCCTCCCCCAGCACCTCCCCTGTCCCTTGATTCTAGTCCTTCCCCCAGCACCTCCTCTGTCCCCTGATACTATCTCTCCCCTAACACCTCCCCTGTCCCCTGATACTAGCCCAGTCTCTGAGCCTTTGCGAGGCTGCCTTCCTTCCAGGAATGTTCCGCCCCAGGCCAGCAGCAGCCACCAGGCCATCATGGATCTGGGCTCTCTCTGGCTGTTGTGGTCCCCCAGCTCCACACCCCGTGCCCTGCCCTTGCACTTCATTCCTTTCTCTTGGTGCTCCTCAGCCACTTTGCTCTGAACAGCCCCTCCCCGGGGAGCAGCTCTGAGGCTTTAATGCCCTGCATGTCTTAAGGGCACGGAGACCCAGAGAGGGCTGAGCATTAAAGGCGAAGTTGGTGCGGGGACCTGGTCTCCTGGCTGCCGTGCACGCACAGTGCTCTGGCCTGTGCTGCATCTCTTCAGTCCCCTGGGTCCCAAGGACAGGCTCAGGCCTCCACAAAGGTGGGCTGGGGGGCCTGGCTTCTACAGACCCCTGATCCCCTTCTTCCCCCCCATCCCACCCTCTTCTTCACCGTGCACAGCTGTCAGAAGTGTGGACAGCGGCAGCTCACTAAGTGGGGAAGAGGCAAGCCATTGAGGGAGCTCAGAGAAGGCTGTCCTGGGGGTGGGGATGGTGCCTGTCCATTCTGGGAAATCGCATCAGTGCTGTTAGCCTGTCACCATGGCGACCCGAGGGCAGGAACAATCAAAGGGACCGTGTACTGTGCGCAGAGTGGGGCGGTTGGTTGGAGACTGGTGGGAACTCACGGTGCCCCGGAAGCCTCTGAGTAGGAGATACGGAGAGATACCACCTCACACCCTAGCTCAGGGAGCACAGTCTGTGGGAGCTCAGAGCAGGACCGGGGAGATACCCTTCTCCAATCAGAACATCCTTTCCTTGAGGATTAGGGATGAGGAGAGGCAGAGGAATGCGCAGAGTGAGGGAGAGAGAAACAGAGGTGAGAACGCTGTTGTGATGCAGGAAGCACAGCCCAAGCCGGGTTCTTCAGGAACAACATTTAGCTTCCTTTGCAAGCAGAAAAATTGAAGTGCGACTCTGGCGCAGCTAGGAGAGCCTCCCCAAAGTCATGTCAGCTTCTGTTGCAGTCATTTGGGTGCCCCCAGAAACCCACCTTAAGAGGTCTGCTTAGGAGGAGAGCAAGCGATGGAGGAGAGAGCCATTACGCCTATAGCCAGCTGTGTGTGTCTTAATTTGAGCTTTTCCCCTCCAGCCTGTCTTGTTGGCTTTGTAAATGGGAGAAAGATGAAGCCATTGGGGAGTGTGTAGTGTTCGCACGTGGCAGGGCCGTGCTTGTGTTTTCTAAAAAGGCCTTGTTAAGGGAGATGCTGCCCGTTGAACGAAGCTCCGTGGGTCTGGCTGATAACCTGAGTGAGCTCCCTGATCTTGGGTGGGGCCTAATAGGGACAGGACAGTGGTGACTGGGGATGCCCAAGAGAGACATTCTGGGTGGGGGAGCTCAGGAAATTAGCCTGGAGAGCTCCCCTTCCCTCGTTGCCGTATTGACTCACTTGGTTCTCACTGAGTAGCGGGAATGCGGCAGCGCCTGTGTGTGCTGGGGCCTTTGAGGTCTGCTCCTACAGCAGCATGGATGCCGAGGGGCCTGGTTTGCGTGAAAGCAAATGGCAAGGAGAGGGAGATCAGATGAAGAGCGCCGGTCAGCAGTGAGCTTCTTTGCTTCCTCCCCCATCTGCATCATCAGAACAGCAGATCCACACACACAAGCGGCTCGGTGGCTGCCGCTGCATGGACATCGGTGTATTAAGGATATTGATGATGGTGACGGAAAGACTATAAAGGGGTTCTGCCCTGGAAATGTGCTCCTGGGGGGGACCCCCAGCCACACATGCACACACACAGACCCTCACCACACATGCATGCATGTACACAGACGCACGCCCTTACTCATCTCAGACGCCCACAGCTCCAACTGTGAGGGAGTAACTAATAGAGTGCAGAAAGCGACCGAGGGGTTGCTGTGGGAGTGAGATTGCAGCCTGAGCCCCTCTGCACTCCTCGCCCATCTCCTCATCTCTCACGTGAGGATGGACAAGCCCGTGTTAAGTCAACCAACACACCTCGAGTTCTCAGGGTGAGCAGGATGCCAAGGCTCTGGAGATGAGTAAGGCTCGAGCTCTATCCTTGAGAGACTGGAAACCAGTTGTATCAGTTATTGATTGCTGCATAACAAATAGCCCCAAAACTCAGTGGTTTGAAACAACAAATGATTTTGTTCGTGCATAGTTTTTTGTAGTCAGGAATCTGGGTATTTCTGGTTGAAGATCTCTAGCCAAGATGCAGTCAAGTTTTTTAGCCAGGTTTGTTGTCATCTCCAGGTTTAACTGGGCATGGAGACTCTACTTCTGAACACACTCAGGAGCTGCTGGTAGGAAGCCTCAGCTCCTTGCAGGTTTTGGCTGGAGGCCTCTGTTCCTCGTTACAGGGTTTTCCCTATAAGCCACCTCAGTGCCCTCGTGACTTAACAATTTGTTTTCTCAGATCACTCTTTCAAGTGATCAGAAAGAGAAAGAGCCCAAGACGAGCCTCGTGTCTTTTATAATCTAATCTCAAAAGTGACAGGCCACTACTTATGTTGTATGTAACCAATTCTGCTACAATGGGCACTGTACAGGGGTGTGTAGCAGGAGGTGGGGATCCTTGGGGCCACCTTAGAGGCTGCCTCATGTTGTAGCTGTTACCGTAAGCCACTAAGGACAGTTAGTTGGCCTTTCAGCATCAAGAGTAGGTCTCCTGGGACCGGCAGGTGGCATGGTGGTTAAGGGTGCTGGATTCCCACATGGCTGACTGTAGTTTGAGTCCTGGACCTGGCAGCTTGCTTTCTCACCTTCCCCCTCTCTCTCTCACTCTGTCCCTCTCTGGTCAAATTTAAAAACTAAGAAATAAAGTTAAATAAAATAATTATTTTAAAAAAAAAGGAGTAGGTCTCCTGTCTCTTTTCCAGGCTTCTGCCCAGGCCTGTTGCATGCACATGGAAGCAGGGAACAGACAACTGAAGGGACTTCCAGGCCTGAAGGAGTAGACCGAGACAGACGTGTGGGCTGCAGCGAGGGAGGGGAAGGGCAACAGAGAATTCACCTCTTTCCCACCTCACACATCATGTTCTCCCCCCCACGTGGTCCTTCTGCTACTTGGGTATTTGTGTCTGGTGTGTCATTCTGAACACCGGGGACAAGTCCTGACAGTGTGCCTGGCACATGGGAGGAGGTGGACAGGTAACGGCCTCTCTCTAAGAAAGACTCCAGGGAGTCACCGTGGGGCTCTGGTGGTTAAGGGCGCTGGATTCCCACATGGCTGACTGTAGTTTGAGTCCTGGACCTGGCAGCTTGCTTTCTCACCTTCCCCCTCTCTCTCTCACTCTGTCCCTCTCTGGTCAAATTTAAAAACTAAGAAATAAAGTTAAATAAAATAATTATTTTAAAAAAAAAGGAGTAGGTCTCCTGTCTCTTTTCCAGGCTTCTGCCCAGGCCTGTTGCATGCACATGGAAGCAGGGAACAGACAACTGAAGGGACTTCCAGGCCTGAAGGAGTAGACCGAGACAGACGTGTGGGCTGCAGCGAGGGAGGGGAAGGGCAACAGAGAATTCACCTCTTTCCCACCTCACACATCATGTTCTCCCCCCCACGTGGTCCTTCTGCTACTTGGGTATTTGTGTCTGGTGTGTCATTCTGAACACCGGGGACAAGTCCTGACAGTGTGCCTGGCACATGGGAGGAGGTGGACAGGTAACGGCCTCTCTCTAAGAAAGACTCCAGGGAGTCACCGTGGGGCTCCTGCTGCCTCCAGTCTCCCCTGCACCCAGATCAGCCTGGGAAACGTGGTTTGGGACCAGGCAGTGAGAGGGGCTGGAGGTGTGAGGGCCTGGGGTGTGGAGAGCCCTCTGCTGGCAGTGACTCTGGCCTGCCAGCCCCTCTCCCCTCTGTCTTTCCCTCTCTTCTCTCAGGTGTTCCCCTGCTGTTTGTTACCCCCTGGGGCATTGTCAAGTACCTCTATGAGGACGAGGGGTGAGTGTCCTGCTCCAAAAGGGTGGGTGTACTGAGGCCCCCATCCTCAAAGTCATGGGATTCCTCCGTGGTTCCCACCTATTAGGAGGCTAAAGCAATGAATTTAGTTCTTAGTTCCCCATCTCTGCCTCACCCTGGGATTGTATGACGAGGCATGGTGCGGGTCTGTGGAGTACATTGTGCCCTTCTGTAGGTTTTCTGTAATGTCTGGGGGTGATGTGCTCCTGGCGCTTCATGTGTGATCCTGGGTACACGTGTCACTGTGTCTGTGGGTCTATGACCGCTTGTGTGGGGACTGTGTGTATCTGTATGTGCGGTCATGTATCTGGGACTCTGTGTGTGTGTATGGCTGTGTCCTTGTAAGGTTCCGTGTGGCTCTGTGGGGCTGGCTGTTGGGAGGCCCTGGTGGCCGTGTGCGTGGCCTCTGCGCGCCACGTGTGCCTGTGCTGGGAAACCGGCCGGCTGCATGCGTGCATCTCTCTCCCTTTCAGCTGCTGGACAAGGAACTCAAACATGAATTACTGGCTTATTATCCGCCTGCCAATCCTCTTTGCCATCGGGGTGAGTGGCGGTTTGGGGTGGGAGTTGGAGTGCTGGTGGGCTGGGAGGTAGAAGGACTGGGGGAGAGCAAGGGCACCCAGCCACCCCCGGCCTACCTGCAGGTGAACTTCCTCATCTTCGTCCGGGTCATCTGCATTGTAGTGTCCAAGCTGAAGGCCAATCTCATGTGCAAGACGGACATCAAGTGCAGGTGACGGAGCCAAGCTGGCTTTGCTGGGGACCCTCAGCCTTGCCTTCTGTCAGAGAGGGATCCTGGATTAGAGCCCTGAATTACTCTCCTCTCCCACCTGGTCCTGGCCTGGGCACCCCTAGCTTTGACCTCACTCTGTCCTTGGGTAGCTTCTGGGCTTCTGGGGGATCTCGGTCTCTATTCCTTCCCTTCGAGCAGCCTGTCCATGGTTTTGGGGTGGGAAGACATCCATGACCAGAAAGGGCCCAGGTCCTGGTGGGAGGCACAGAGAGGAGACAGGAACCCATGGGGAGTCCAGAATGACTCCAGTGGTCTCCACCCTACTCCCACCCCCCAGGCTTGCCAAGTCCACGCTGACCCTCATCCCTCTCCTGGGGACCCATGAGGTCATCTTTGCCTTCGTGATGGACGAGCATGCTCGGGGCACCCTGCGCTTCATCAAGCTGTTCACGGAGCTCTCCTTCACCTCCTTTCAGGTGACTCCATGGCTGGGCGCACTTGCTTGAGAAATCTCAGCATGAAAGCGGGGTAGGCAGCAGCCTCTACCATGCAAAGGAGAACGCTGGGCAGGCTAGGGGTGGGGCTGACCCCTGCCCAAAGTCACAGAGCCCGAACTAGCACCCCCAGCTGTCCAACACTTGGACCCGTCTCTAAGCACATGGAACGAGAAGCCTTGCTGAAGTCACCCTGGGCGCCCAGCCTGACCCGTTACGGTTGCCATCCACTGGGTGGCAGGCACCCTGCAAGTGCTTTAAACACACCTCGTTAAACACGCCACGCTTGTAATCCTTACAGAACCCAGGAGGTGTGTAGGATTACCCCCGTTTTACCAAGGAGGAAACTGAGGCTGAGATGTTAAAAAAAGATTTACAGGGTGATATAGTCAAGGCAAGCCTCTTCATTAACATTAGATGATGTTGAATGTGAACGTGTAAGAGACTAGTCCCAGCCCCTCAAAGGTGCAATAGGACCCTTCAAGCACGTGGGCCCATGTGTGCATTTACCCACTTCCTCTCCCCCACACACAGATAAAACCAATCTGGAGCATTGGGTCCCCTGAGTGAGCAAACGGGGCTGGGGTGCAGAAAGTTCCCTGCAGTCAGAGGTGCTCAACTTCATCAGGTCAGGCCTGCTCAAGGGGAGTTTGACTATAGCATTTTGCAGTATCTGAGCAAGGAGCCTTCTTGTTTCTGCAGAAGAGAAGTGCAGGAACCCACTGCCCCATGTCTAGGTCAGCTGGGGTGCCAGTGAGGAGGGGATGGAGGGGCTGGAGCCCAAGGTGCTTCTGACCAGGATCTGACTACAGGGCTCCTCCCTCCTGCTTCCTACCTGCTGACATGACTCTGTTTCCAGGGGCTGATGGTGGCTATCTTATACTGCTTCGTCAACAACGAGGTAAGGTCTGGGCGAGGGGGTAGGGACCCTGGGGGGCTGCAGCCATAGCCTGGGCTGGGGTGTCAACCTCCTACTCCCCTCACTGAGGCACCAGGGGCAGGGGGCCATCTTGTCTGTAATTTCTGGCCTCTGTCTTTCTCTTTCACACACACTAATCATCATCTCATATAATTGTCATCCCCTAAAACCTCTGCTAAAGTTCTGATTTTTATACTTCCGTTTTTCACCCATGGGAATAGTGAACATCAGCCAGAGAGAGTAAGAAACTTGCCCCAGGTTGGGCCTGGAAATAGCAGCAGAGCAGGACCAGCAGTTAGCATAATTGCTATGTTGCTGGACTCCCATGTAGTCAACCGTGGTTCAAGTCCCGGACCCGGTGGCTTAAATTCACGCCGGGCGCGTGTGCATGCGTGCCCAAGATCCCGAGAGGAGAATGGAGGAGAAGGGACTGCGGGCGTGGCCATCCCCCCTGGGGGGTGATTTCTCGCTTTCTGTCTCTCTGTCTCTCTCTATCTGTCTGGAGAGCACACATGCCCTTTATCAAAAAAAAAAACCCTCTCCAAAAAAAAAATCAAAAATCAGAAAAACTTGGGACCAGCAGATGGCGTAGTAGCGATGTCACTGGACTCCCATGTAGCTGACCACAGTTCGGGTTCTGGACCTGGTGGCTTAAACTCATACTGAGCGCATGTGTGTGCATGCCCAAGATCTTGAGAGGGATTGCAGCGTGGCCACCCCCCCGGGGGGTGATTTCTCGCTTTCTGTCTCTCTGTCTCTCTGGTGAGTGCATGTGCCCTATAGCAAAAACCTCTCAAAAAAAAAAAAAAAGTATCCTGACTTGAAGCAAGTACCCCTTGTTTGTGCACATAGGCAAGAACCCCTTTCAGCTGTGAGAAAAGGGATGGGACCCTCTGGTGACTACCTGATTGCTGGAGTTGCCCTCGACACCTGTGGGGTGGGAGAAGACGCTGCAGGAGCCCAGCCCTCCCCCTGCTCTCTGAGGCACTCAGCTCCAGGAGTTGTCTGTCTGGGCACCTGGAAGGCTGTTTACTCCAGGGTCTCCAGTCCTCTGCTGGAACAGAGCGGGAGCACCCCATGTCATCACATGGTATCGCAAATGCCACAGCACCCCCCTTACATAAGTCATAGGGTCACCAGGCCCCCTGAGGAAGTGTCTAGCAGAGGGTTAACCTTCAGCAGGGAGGAAGGCAGGGGCAGCCCCAACCCACAGTCTGGGGAGAAACTGACGACTTCGTCAACTCCCTCCAAGTCCAGGGACTGGACTGGGGCTGGGACTCAGGTGTCCCAGCGACTTAAGTCCTCAAAGACACAGGGCCCTTTGTGTAGACCCGCCATCACTAAGCCTGGGTTAAGTCAGCATGTGTATATAGACTTGTCTTTTGTCATCTGCGTGGAGGACACAGCGGGGATCCTGGTGGAGGGAACCTCACTTTCAGGCAGCTGTGAAAAGGCTCAAAGAAGCCATGTGATGTAGCAGGAAAGAGCAAGCGTGTCGGTTTCAGCATCGGACCCCTGCTCTATCCAGCTTCGCCACTGAATGAGCTGGGTGACTTTGGGGAAGTCACACGCCCGCTCTGCACCTGGGTCCTCATCTACACAATGGGAGTGGTCGTGCCTGCCTGTGAGATCCCGTGGGGACTGAGGGGAGAGGTCAGCCTGTGAGATCCTGTGGGGACTGAGGGGAGAGGTCAGCCTGTGAGATGCCGTGGGGACTGAGGGGGGAGGTCGGCCTGTGAGATCCCGTGGGGACCGAGGGGAGGTCTATGAAAGGTGGGGAAGGAGAGTGGAGAAGGCGGAGCACCGAAGGCCCACCCAGCCTCACAGCTCACAGCTCAGCTTGCCTGAAGAAACGCGCACACCCGTCCCGATGCTCAGTAAGCAGTAGCTGTCATACACACCCCAGCATTCAGAGACAGGGGCCTGGGAGATTGCCGAGAACGCTGCAGAGAAACAGGGAAGGAACGCATCCCTGTCCCTGACCCGGCCAGCCTCCCCTGAACTCGTTTCCCATGGGCTTGGGGCCAGTGGCCTTCAGATCTCTAAAAGGGAGGAAGCCAGCGTCCCTAAGTGCCTACTGCACCTAGAGGAGCTCGAGTGTTCCTTACAGACAGTCCTGTGCAGCACACGTGATCCCCGTCTTACACAGGAGGAGACTAAGGCCTAGCAAAGGGAACAGAACAGCTCAGGTCAGCAGCGGGAAGGCGGTAGAACTAGCGGGCTGGAGGAGGGGGCCCAGTAATGGCTCAGGGCAGCGGGGCAACGGGTGGACGCAGCACCCAGTAAAGGGCGGCCCATCGATGGGATTCCGGCTGCTCCATGGGCAGGTCTCAGGGGGCCAGGGGACTTGGTGTGGAGGGTGGGCCAGGGAAGGAGGCAAGGAGAATATAGAGGACGAGTGAGCCTGTTCCAAAGGCCCTTGGTCATGGGAGGTGGGAGGCTTCAGGTGTGGCAGCCCTGGTCCTCCCTGTCACTCATGAAGAGCCCCTTAACCTGCAGTAAAGGGGGGCACGCAGAACCTTCGCTCTGCGGCGGCCTTTCTGCAGGAACAGGTCTGAGCCAGCGCTGACAGGCCGCCCAGACACTGGCTATTCCAGCCCAGGGGTGACGCAGGCAGGACGGCGTGTATCCCTGTGTGGGGATGAGGAGCCAAGGCCCAAGAGGAGAGACTGAGGTTCCCTCCTGTCACCTTGTCACCTTCTCGGCTCCCCAGTACCTCTTTCCCCCTGCTCCCTCCTCTGTCCCCAAAGCCTGGCTGTTACATGTTTTATGTGTTCACACTGTCCCCACCGCTGCGGAGTCCCAGCCTCATTCTCAAGGCCCAGTCACCTCCTTCCCTGCCCACACCCCAGGTGGGCCCAGCTTTGTGAGGGAGTGGGAACAGACACGCCCTGCCCTGGGCAAAGACCTTGACTCTGAATCACCAGAGTTGTACCTCTCTGACCAGGCCTGGCTACAGGGGCTCTGCTGGGCCTTCCCCTTGGGCTCTCCCAGGTTCATGCCATGGGGTCCCAGAGACCCCACTCAGAGGGCTGGGGGGACCTGCCTCCTGTCAGTGCACTGCCCAGCTCCTTTAAACCCTATCCAGAGACCCTTGTGCCCTGGTTCCTCCAGGCCACAAAGATACACGGCTCCTGGGCTGAGACTCCGTCCACAGAGCTGTTCTCCAGAGTGAAGGCTGCCAGAGCAATGCGAGGTACTTGTGACCTGAGAAAAGATGGCCAGGACATTGGCCCCGTGTGGCTGCCAAGGCCACACCAGCTGGTGGTGGGTGGGGAGTGAGGACAGGGCCGGGAGCAGCAGATGGTTTTGCTGTAGCTCACATCTGAGAGCCAGAGCGAGGTGATTCGGGACCCCAGAGTGCTGTCCAGTCCTGCCCCTTCCAAGCTGTGTGATGGAGAGCGGGTCGCTTTGCCTGCCTTGCCTCAGTTTCCCCGAGTGTAAATGGAGGTGAGTGAACTTTACTGATTCACCCCCAGTTTAAGCCTGGTGTGGTGCCTGGCCAGATTGGGTGCCCCAGGAGTAAGGAGGAGAGCCTCTGCCAGGCTGCAGAGCTGGAGGGCAGGACTGAGGGTAAGGTCGGGGCGTGTAGGAGGAAGTGCC